GGACCCGGGGTCCTGCTGGCCTTCCAGGTGAGCCACAGACCTCCAGCGGTTTGCAGTTACTGACTTCACACAGTTACTATCTCCCCCCACCTTCCCAGACCTTGGCCACCGTCTTCTGATGAATTCAGGTCTGCAGATGAGTCAGTCATCGCTCCGTAAAAGAAAACACCCAGCTTTAATCGGTTTATCTTTAAATGTTCCCTGTACCTGGCTTGGAGAAGGACAAGAACTGCAGCAGGCAGGCTGCACCGCAGTCTCCAGTCAGTCATTTTCTATGTGAGAGAGGACGGTGGAGGAGGGAGGGGTCAGGGGACGGAGTCTATGCTCTCCCTGAAAGATACTGTTTCCACAGTGCCAGCTCTCACTTAAACCTGGCAGGTCTCACGTGCACCTTTAGACACTGACTTCCTTCTCAACCTCACCTGAATTTCCCCTACTTGCTGAGTATCTGGGGTTGCAGCCTTGGGGTCAACTCTCTGTCCTGCATGGCCCTGTCTGCCCAGTGACACTTACATGTACTCCTGGCTTCCTGTACCTTCTGAAACTGGTGTGTTCCAGCCATTTTCGTGTTTCTGTCATTTTTGTCTAATTTATCTCCTAGCTTCTCTCTCTCGCCTCCTCAGAGAGACTGGCACGTGAAAGCATGCTGTCTATTGCCTCATTGTCTTCTTTCTTTTCTCTTTTTCTGCTATTTCCTTTTCTTTTGCTTTAAACTACTAATAAAGTTCTATTTACAGCAAAGACTTATGAATCTACTTTCCACTTGAAATTATTCATAGACTCTCCATGTCTTATAGAAGTCGCTGGTTTCATCCTTTCATCGTTTCTTTAATTCATTAATTTATTTGGAACCTTTTCCCAAAAAAAAAATCATGTAAGAAAAGCCTAAATAAAAAGGGTGGTTACGTTAGAGTTGTTGATCTGAAGCGGGGAGTTCCTAGCCCTGCCCGTCACCCTCAGCTTCACATTCAGAGCCCCTGCGGCCCCACTGTGGGAACCCCAAGCACTCCAGTTTCACATGTCACCTAGGCCATCAGGCCCCTGCTCATGGGACCTGCAGGTAAGGCCTCTGAACCAGCTACCTACGCTCAGCACAGGAATTGCTACCCCCGACCGCCCCGGGCTGCTGCGTGCCCCATGCCTGGACTCCACCTTTCCTTCACTGAATCCGGTCTCTTCCTCTCAACCTTCATCTTACTGGTGCACTGTGAAAGCTGCCCCCAGTGCCTTTCAAGATTCCAAATTGTAACTATTGTTTTCATCTCCTGATTCCAAACACTGACCTGTGTCTAACGCAGCACTTGCTTCACTGGGTGACTTAAAACATAAGTCTTTCTTCTCCCTAGGCTGAGATTACAGGCTTTTCAAGGGCGGCTGCAGACACAGTGGCCTCCCGACAAATGCTTGTGGAGAGTCACCGGTTTACAAAAGTATTTATTTCATGAACATTTTCCCTAAGTTTCCCCTGCATTTGTCTCTCACTACAAAGGAGGACAGCTGATTCCAATGGTCATGTTATTTCTCCGAAACGTGAGAATGTGAAAGCATAAAGAGTAGAAATAAAATGAAGCAAAGCTATGGAGATGAGAGATGCTGACGAGTTTGTCTTCTTCACAATAGGAAATGTTGTAATTAATCCTGATTTCTTCCTTCCTTCCTGAGAGCTATGCATGCTTAAAGGTTTAAATACCCTAGTGATATATCATTTATTACAATAAAAACCCATGGGGTTTAAGAGATTGCTGAAGATTTGAAAAGGCAACAGGAATAATTCTTA